AATATATCCCACCTGAATTTAGAGATCATCTGAAGAACAGATTTGATACATTAAACACTAAAAACCAAAGACCAGAAGTGTTGTGGGATGACATCAAGAATATCATCCATGAAGAAAGCAAAAAGCTATTGAGAAGACAAGAAAGAAGGAAACGGTCAAAATGGATGTCAGAAGAGACACTGAAACTTGCCCTCCAGCATAGAGGTGCTAAAGCAAATGGAAGAAATGAGGAAGTCCAAGAGCTGAACAAAAAATGTCAAAGATGAGCTCCAGAAGATAAAGCCAAGTATTACAATAAAATGCGCAAAGATCTAGAATCAGAAAACCAAAAAGGAAGAACACGTTCAGCATTTCTCAAGCTGGGGGAACTGAAGAAAAAAATCAGGCCTCGACTTTTGTTATTGAAAGATTCTTTGGGCAAATTATTGAATGATGCAGAAAGCATCAAGAGAAGATGGAAGGAATGCATAGAGTCACTGTAACAAAAGGAAATGGTTAATATTCAACCATTTCAAGAGGTAGATCAAGAGCCAATGATACTGAAGGAGGAAGTCTAAGGTGTATTGAAGGAATTAGCAAAGAACAAGGCACCAGGAATAGATGGAATAAAAATTGAAATCTTTCAAGAAAGTGAGGCGGCACAAGAGGCACTCACTCATCTCTGCCAAGAAATTTGGAAGCCAACTATCTGGCCGACTGATTGGAAGAGATCCATATTTGTGCCCATTCCAAAGAGAGGTGAGCCAATGGAATGCGGAAATAATCAGATAATCTCTTTGATATCCCATGCGAGTAAAGTTTTACTAAAAGTAATACAGAAACGGCTACAAGCATACATTGACAGAGAACTTCCAGAGGTTCAAGCTGGATTCAGAAGAGGCCGTGGAACGAGGGATATCATTGCTGATGTCTGATGGATCTTGGCTTAAAACAGAGAGTATCAGAAATATGTTTACCTGTGCTTTTATTGACTACACAAAGGCTTTCGATTGTGTGGATCATGACAAGCTATGGACAACATTGCCAAGTATGAGTATTCCGGAACACTTAATTGTGCTCATGAGGAATCTGTACCTGGACCAAGAGGCAGTTGTTCGAACAGAACATGGGAACACTGAATGGTT